TGAGTGCTGAGTGTTTTCTATGGTACTTCTCATCAAGCATGTAACTCAGGGCAAAACCAGGCAGAAAGAAATAAAACAATATCCACATTAACTAGGGAGGGAAACACAGAATATTTTCCTAAGATGATTGATCCAACTGGCAGACCGGGGCAAAAGCTATCACCACACACAAAAACAGGTATTTTTATGTACATCTAATATACAAAGTCAACAAATTTCAAAGTTCAAAACAAAACAAACAACGCCCTCCCCCCTCCCCACCTCCCATGGCAGTAGATTTTTCTTTGATTCTGGGTTTTGAAAGGAATTTGCATGGAGGCCTCTTACCCCGGGTAATGGTTGGCTGTCTCTGTATTTTCACAGAGGATGCCAGGGATGGATTTAAAGTGCAATTTAAATTAGGCATTTTGTTCTCCCATAATATAGCATATATATCTTCATGAGTGAAACCACATGGACAACTTGATATTAAAAAAAAAAAAAAAAAGGGAGTGGGGGTCTGCCAGTAGCAATAGTCAAAACAGAAATATATGGTCAGAAGATTAACGTACATGAAAGAGAACAGAGACACCAAAGAATCTTATGGGAAATCACAGGAGGCTCTGCGTGGCTCCCATCCCAGTTTTATCCCTCAGATGGTTTCTTATTTGGAAAGCGATTCTAATGACATTAGTGGCTGAATAGTTATAAAACCATAACAATGTTGATATGGCAAATTGACATCAAATACTCCTTTCAGTACTCTAGAGCCTGCAAGAATCTTCCGCAGGTGAATCTACCTTTAGATGTGGCCTTCACAGGTTAAGTCAGGAGAGCTTCCCCAGGCAGGACGGATGGGAGGCAGAGGCGCCCTGCTGCTCCCACCTGTGATTCTGGGTGGGCAGCATCGGGTCAGATTGGGCTTACAATTCCTCTTTTTCAAGGGCCTCCAGGATGAAGATTTAACATATTTTGAGGGAGTCAGGCCGAGTGGGAACTCACGAAGGCCTGCCTCCCTAACAGGGAGAACAATTCAATTATTCTGGTTATGAAAGATAAAAGATAACACTGGAACACTTCCTTTCAGAGACATCAGAAATCAACTATGACCTTTGGAGTTTAAAAACATTTTTCGATTGCATTTAAAAACAATTTGTACCTTTTTCTTGTAATGAAACGGCTGACCTAGGGAACGGGTTTCAGTCACTGCATTTGCCTGGGAGAAAAGAAATAGATGCCCGTGGGCTTCCTCTTCCTCTTAGTTTTTTTTTAAGCTGAGGCTTTATGTTAGTATCACTAGATTTAGCTGTTGAAGCTTTTAAGGCTAATGGTTGCTGTAATGTACCAAACAGTACAAGATTGAAGAGTGGAGATTAATTTAGCTCTCCATTTGTCAGGATTCAGTCTGGAAGATTTCTTAGGAACCAATCTAAATCTAGGGGATAGCCTGGACCTTTAAAATGGGACAGGGAATCATTCAGCTCCATAACCTTTAATCTGTTTGAAGAAAGGAGCAAATGTTAAATTCCACAAGTACACTTTCTGGGCAAGATAAATATATATAAGACTGCTTGTTAAGACACAGCAAGCCTGTAAGATCACATCCATTAAGGCAGCGGATCCTACAATGTTGTTTTAGCGGCAATTTTAGTGTAACGACTCTTGGGTGTGCCAGTGAGAATCAGGGCATTCATCACCACAGATGCAGTTTGTGTGTAGAGCGGGTTCAGCTGCTAACATCAAGAGGCCAAAGCGCACCTATGAGATCAGCTTATATTACCTTGAGCAAAGAGGCCAGGAGGAGGGGAAGAGGAGAACACAAGTCCCTATAAAGGCACCTGTGATGTGGACAGAGATATAGCATTGTTTGTTTTTAAAATTTCCTCTTAAATGGAATCTCTGTGGTTGTAACTGTGATAACAGTGAGTTGTAGCTGTTTGAAGACGTGAGATTACCTTTAGTCTGGAGTGAAGGCGTAGGAGCTGTGAACTGAAGTGCCTCTGCTGAGTCGCTGAGATTGATGGTGAGTGGGGAGGAGTTCAGGGAGTGTCAAGAAAGGTCTTTCGTAAAAAACAGCCTAAGCTAGTGAGAGGCCAGCCACAAATGAAAAGTGCTGCTCCGTATTAAATCCAAAAATGGGCAGAAGACCTAAATAGGCATTTCTCCAAAGAAGATATACAGATTGCCAACAAACACATGAAAGGATGCTCAACATCACTAATCATTAGAGAAATGCAAACCAAAACCATTAGGAGATATCATCTCACACCAGTCAGAATGGCCATCATCAAAAAATCTACAAACAATAAATGCTGGAGAGGGTGTGGAGAAAAGGGAACCCTCTTGCACTGTTGGTGGGAATGTAAATTGATACAGCCACTGTGGAGAACAGTATGGAGGGTCCTTAAAAAACTACAAAGAGGGCTTCCCTGGTGGCGCAGTGGTCGAGAGTCCGCCTGCTGATGCAGGGGACACGGGTGCGTCCCCCGGTCCGGGAAGATCCGACGTGCCGCGGAGCGGCTGGGCCCGTGAGCCATGGCCGCTGAGCCTGCGCATCCAGAGCCTGTGCTCTGCAACGGGAGAGGCCACAACAGTGAGAGGCCCGCGTACCGCAGGAAAAAAACAAAACAAAACAAAACAAAGAAAACTACAAATAGAATTACCATATGATCCAGCAATCCCACTACTGGGCATATACCCTGAGAAAACCATAATTCAAAAAGAGTCATGTACCAAAATGTTCACTGCAGCTCTATTTACAATAGCCCAGAGATGGAAACAACCTAAGTGTCCATCATCAGATGAATGGATAAAGAAGATGTGGCACATATATACAATGGAGTATTACTCAGCCATAAAAAGAAACGAAGTTGAGCTATTTGTAATGAGGTGGATAGACCTAGAGTCTGTCATACAGAGTGAAGTAAGTCAGAAAGAGAGAGACAAATACCATATGCTAACACATATATATGGGATTTAAGAAAAAAAAATGTCATGAAGAACCTAGGGGTAAGACGGGAATAAAGACACAGACCTACTAGAGAATGGACTTGAGGATATGGGGAGGGGAAAGGGTAAGCTGTGACAAAGCGAGAGAGAGGCATGGACATATATACACTACCAAACGTAAGGTAGATAGCTAGTGGGAAGCAGCCGCATAGCACAGGGAGATCAGCTCTGTGCTTTGTGACCGCCTGGAAGGGTGGGATAGGGAGGGTGGGAGGGAGGGAGACGCAAGAGGGAAGAGATATGGGAACATATGTATATATATAACTGATTCATTTTGTAGTAAAGCAGAAACTAACACACCACTGTAAAGCAATTATACTCCATTAAAGATGTTAAAAAAAAAAAAAAGAGAGAGAAATGTGGTATTTATGCCGAATGAACGAAGGCCTTGACTGCCTTAAAATGTAAACCTGACTAGCTACCTAGACGGAACCTTCTACAAGGAGAGGTAATCAAGGCTGGCTCACATCCGGACAACTTCTGCAAAGACAAAACAGACCACAGAAGGGCTTTCTTAATGGGTTCACACATGCAGAGCAGTGGCGAAAGGGGCGGTGTAATTTACACTGACATCCAAAGGGCCGTTCATAGGAAACTATGAAAACCTGGTAACAGCAGCTCAAGCTTAATTGGTTTACTACCCGGATAAGAGGTAAGAAATCATGAAAGGTAAACACCTAGTTCGAAGCAAGGAAAAGCTGTTAGCATGGTTGCTCTGGAAATCAGTTAGGGAGGAGCATCTTTGTTGCGCTTATTAAGGATGCAGAAAGTGGGAGGAATCTCTTAGCACTGCTAACAAACTGAGTTTACTTAAGAAGCAGAAGAAACTAACAAAAAGCTAAAAGGGAAATACACACACACAAGAATTTAGGAAGCAGCCTGGATGGAGCTGAGTTTAGGGTGAGACACAAAAACCAACTGATGGATTTTCAGAAGCTTTTCAATTAAGTGCAGGCACTGATGTTTTCGCAAACATCATTCAGAACCATGCTCTCTAGTGGCTTAGTTAAAAGTTCTTTGTTCCACTCTAATAGTTAGAAAGGTGAAGAAAACTGAAATTAGACAATCTATTGTTATATTTCATAAACCGATGAGGCCTCCTCTTTCACTGAACACTTATAATTTTCATCATGTCTATCACACCAACTCCTGTGAAAACTGAAAATGTCTCCGGAAAGTCAATGTAAAGGATGGCCTTACCTAAGGAAATCTTGCACGTCTAGTCGACGTGGTGCGGCCATAACCTTTCCCACCCTGGTCGGCAGAGAAAACTCCAACAAGTCTCCCGGACAAGCGACATCAAGCACTGAGAGCCACTGGGGACCAACCAGGAAGGGGCTGGAGGACATAACCTCCTCCCTCAGTGACGGTCAGAAAAAGGAGACCGCGAAACTCACTTTGAATAGGAGTTTCAGACAGTCCAAAGAGCTAAACCACAGAGTGACAACCGCAGTGGCTCCTCCAGTGTTTAACGGAGGGCAGGAAGGGGTACTCGAGTGCCCAGAGTGGAACAGATGGTGACTCCCCAGGTGACACACGGTCACTGGGTACTCTCTGGGGCAGGAAGGATGATGCATTTAGGAACATGGCCCACATGGACATGTTAAAGGGTGTGTATTTTCCTTCACGTGGATTAAGATGAAATTAAGGCAAGAAGAAGATCCAAAGCCGGGATACTTACCGTTTTGTCAACCGTGGCTCAGCACAAGCTATCCGCGTGTTCTCTAAGAGCCAGGCTGCCATTTTCCCCCTAGCATTTTTCTCTGCATGGTGATGCTTAAAAAAGAATTCTGCAAAATATCTGATCTACTGTTAAATGCTTGGATGTTAAAGTCTTTTCTGAGGTCCTTAAGAGTCGACTTGAGAACACAGTATCTAATGTCTTTCAAGTTCCCAAATAAAGGAATAATTCCATTCCAAGGAGTTAAAGGGGCCTTTTAGGCTTCTTGTTATACATACCAGAAAGACAGTGTACATTCAGGACATCTGCAATGGCAATGAAGGTACCATACCTGCGATGATGGTAAGGATGGTGGTGGTGGTGGTGGTGGTGGTGGTGGTGGTGGTTGTTGTGAGAGGAGGGATAGTTGTGGGGGGATCTGGATAAAGAAAAAAAGGAGAATCAAACCCACAATGCTGAGCACAGCGGTGATCAGTAACGACACAACAAAGGCGTGAAGACACTGACATGTTGTTTGATGACTTCTCCCTTTAAAATCCAAAGACTCCCCCCGCCGCCCCAGCCCCGCAAAAATTAATGTCTTATAATCATATCTCAAGGCCTTATTTGGAAGAGCTAAGAAAAGAAGAAAAGAGATTTGGGGGCTTCCCTGGTGGCGCAGTGGTTAAGAATCCACCTGCCAATGCAGGGGACACGGGTTCGAGCCCCGGTCCGGGAAGATCCCACATGCCGTGGAGCAACTAAGCCCGTGCGCCCCAACTACTGAGCCTATGCTCTAGAGCCCACGAGCCACAACTACTGAGCCCACGCGCTGCAACTACTGAGCCCGCACACCTACAGCCCGTGCTCTGCAACGAGAAGCCACCGTGATGAGAAGCCCGTGCACCACGACGAAGAGTAGTCCCCGCTCGCCACAGCTAGAGAAAAGCCCACGCATAGCAACGAAGACCCAACATAGCCATAAATAAATAAAATAAATTTCAAAAATTAAAAAAAAAAAGAAAAGAGATTTGTATCAATGAAGTGAACTAGGGATGAGGAGATGAGACGTAGAGACCCCCCCCCCCCCCCGGCATCTGATTTCAAAGGGTGAGGTTAGACCAACTCAGCCCCTGAGAGGGTCCGACGGTTGTCATTTCGTTTTATGCTTTCGCCGGTGGGAGAAAGGACAAGATGGCGCTGATCTATCTAAAGGGCTCCTATCGGCCAAGGGAAAGTGTGCGCCTGCCTCTTGGTCTCTGACTGTTAACTTCATTATTCTCCGTCAATACATCCCAGCAGGAAGTAAACCTACTTCTATACTTGTAATAAATACACAGAAGAGAGAATGTCACCACTAAATATCAAGTTCCAGGCATGTGAGATTTTACTGAGATTTTATTTTCTAAAAGTCAATAAATTTTACAACTTATAAATATTAATCAGTTCATTGCCTTTGCTCAAGCCTGACCTACGTGGGCGACAATGATAAAACTGAAGAACGTTTCCATCTTGTAAACAAGAGAATTAAATATAAACAAGGCTTAACCCTCCAAGACAGGAATCCAATAGGGAATCCTCTGTCAGGTGTCTGATATACTGTATATTCTTCTATCATCTCCAAAATTATTTGGGGGAAAAGAGAAGGCAAATATGAAAGAGAAAAAAAAAAAAAGTCTCAGCCCGACTGATCAAACTGAATGTGTTAAATTGTCAGCAAGACTTTGACCTAAGCAATCATTCTGCTATAATAGAGCGTAAGACGATTTGAAGGCTTTTGATTTTAAATTTTATCTAACGCCCGTCAACTTTTTCTCCCTGACACATCTGGTGTCCTTTTATCTCCAAGTGAGCTCTCAGACTGTCTAATTAATACATCCAAACTTTAATTATATACTGTGTCTTTACTGGGTTTGGCGGAACTTCCTGGAAGTTTACGAAAACATTATCTTGGCGTTTGGTTATGAGGTCTGCTTAAAAGATTCCTACCGTTGATCAACAATCAGTTTTAATTTTCCTCACAAACTTCTCTCACATGTACACAAATGTACGAATTTGACAGGGAAGAATCAAGAGCAAACCTGTCTGTTTTAGGGGAGACTCTGTTCATTGAAGTTGGAGATGCCAGCAGTTTAAACGACTATTGAAAGCAGCCTCACACGAGTGCAAAAAAAGAACCCATTAAAAAAAAAAATCTCATTCTCTTCCAAAAAGTAGAAATGATTCATAGTTTCAAACTACCTTGTTAGAAGAAGAACGGACAGTACACGTTCAGTCTTGCTTTTTGGAGTACTTTCTTATGGAGGCCACAGGTGGGGAAGCATTTTGTGACCCGGGAGACCACTGGATGCACCTACATCCTGCAGCAGGTGCAGGTACAGGTGGCAGGTAGGGACGCAGGTGAGCGAGGGGCACCGGTCCCTGAAGACAACCTGCTCTCTCCATGCCCCAATTCAGCTGTACCCAGAGATGTGCCTTCTCTGTTCTGATTCAATGACAATAGTTGCTATCACTGAAAAGGAACATCTATCTGTAGCTGGTATGCTACAATGCTATTTCTGTCTCTACTTTAAAAAGTATTGGCACAAAATGTGTGATGTCCACAATACAATCAAAGTGCACCTGAAGGTGATTTGAAATTACCATTACCAACAGGAGTGGAACAGAGACTGACTAACGAGGGCAGAGATTTCAGAAAAAAGGTCACTAGTTCCTTTCATTTTGTGAAAATCACACACTTCCAATTATTTTCATCACTACTGGGGTAACTTGTCCTTCACATGTGGCTCAAGTGACCTAAATGAATTAGATTCCGTTACCAGGTGTAATGCCTAGATCATTTCTAGCGATAAGAGCAATGTGAGGTCACTATTTAAGAAAATACAGAGTTGGAGCTAATAAGCTATGTTTGACACATGGACGCTAAAAGAACAAAGCCAACTGGGGCTCAGGCGCTAACCAGATAGATTCGCCAAGTATAGAAGTTACTTCTAGAGAATTAAACATTTTAAAAGCATGTTAACTCTGAGTTCATAAAGAACTTTGAAAGCTACTGTAGTAGGACAATAAATTGGCTTTGAAAAGAAAACCTACTCACCATCTTCTCAAACTGCTAGCATATTTTATTACTAGACAAGCAACACCTCAGGTGAGTGTTCTAGCCTATCATCCCAAGCATTACTGCTAGTACAGGTTACGGGAGGGAGGTAGCATATTGTGGATCTAGCAAATTCCTAGACCAGGAGAAGTGTACCATCTTGGGTTGGGGAGACAGGTGGATGTAGATGTGCTTGCCTACATGGGCAGGTCTCTGTTTCCTGGCTTTCAAATAATGCATTCTGGCCCAGCGAGTTCATTCCCAAACGACAATCTTGCATTGGAGGGAACTGTTCTACCAGGAAGCAGAGAGAGTAAGAGAAACTACAAAGAAAGACACACATTTCACTGTAGACTTTGGAGTCAAAGTTATCGTGGCTCTGAAACATATTTAGTAACCATGTGAACTTGGGCAACTTATGTGACCTTTCTAAGCTTCCTTTTATCATCTGTAAAATGGGATGATGATGGCGCTTACCTTGTCATGTTATCGTGGAGATCAGAGGTGATCGTGCATGTAAAACTGTCACCCTAGCGTATGGAACGAAGTGAGCAAGCCCTCAATAAATGCTAGCCAGAGGTAGGATCCAAAATTATTCACATCTATCTATCAAATCCACAAAACGCTTCTCATCTTGAGATGTCAGAACAGTGGGTACAATAAGTCAAAATTGTTTTTCCAGATAACTGAGTCTTCTGAATCAAGGAAGCACATAATAGACTGGTGGAAATTTATCTCTGCTTTTCATAATCTGCCGTTTTTAAAAAGAGCTGAATGAAAGTCGTCTGTAAACCTGGATAACGGCAAGGCTGGGGCCCCGCGTGAGGCTCAAACCCTGATGTTGAGCATGGGAGGGATGTAGAAGCAAAAGGGGGATGGCTGGAAACGGGGCACTCGGCACCTCCTTGCACCTACATGGAGAGCCATTCCCTTCACTCTGATCTCCTTAACTACCGGGGAGAATTAATGCTATTATGTGTAGACCACAGACAACATGGGTAGTGTGCAAAGAAATCACACCTCAGAAGTCTATACATAAAGTGATTAGATGTGAGCCTTTAACTTTGCATTATGCTAAGGAAAACAAAACTCAGGTACAGGCTAAGGATTATATTTTAATATCCATGTAGATATGAGGTAAAGCATGCTTCTAGTTCATCAAAGAGACTGCTACTCCTATTTTCTTCATAAGGAAAGTGGCCAGGTTCTAAGACGTTATGGTGTAAATATCCCATATGTAGATTTACGTGTGTATATGTGTATATTCACATACACTTACACTTGGATTATTTACATGGCTCACACGAAAAGAGAAATGCACACACATGTTCACATATTTACAAGATACTGAAATTGTCATGCCTATGGTTACTCATTCTGTGTCATGTCAGCTCATGACTATTTTTCCTGGTGTAAAAGTAACCAAGAGAGTCAGCTGGACAGAAGAGACTCAATTCGTCATCATAAGACTAGACAGGCAGTGCACTCCTCAACTAAACAGAGAGTATTCACCAGACACAAAATTGACCATGAGCTATAAATGGGAAATAAGTTTAAAATGGCTGGTACAAGTAGGTGCACAATAAATATTTGTTGACTAGAAAGTGAAGTTCATGATCATATGCTTTAATAATCCTGCAAAAAGATATTAAGAAAACAGACAAATTTTTTTAAAAAAGCACTTCTGTCTAAAGCAGTAGCTATAGGTGGACCTTCTATTTTTTTTCCAAGTATTTACGGGCTTGCGACATATGGAATGTAATAGCTTCATGCTGAAAGTAGGATAGTTGTGCTCATCAAAGCAGGAGAAAGGCTAGCCCAGGTATCATCGGAAAATACCACTGGGAATAGACTTTCTGAGCTGAAAGGCCATTAATTGGTAAGGTTGGATTTCGCAGTCATTATTTCTAACATAATCTCCATAGCGTGCGCCTGAGGACAGAGCTTTCCTACTCAGCATGACCAGAGCCTGTGATCTAGAGGGAAGCCCCCAGGATTAGAAGGGGAGAAGAAAAGTTGCTGTCCTCCTAGTGGTAGCACTGGGGTCCACCTTGGGCCAGGTTTCTTTAATTCTTGAAGGAAACAAACTGTTTTTTTGGCTTTCAACTTGACCAAAAGCTCTAGGAGTGAATCACAAGCAGCAGCTACATAATAAATGAGTCAAATGGAAGAGGGCTTCATCTTCTCACGTACCGTATACATACAGCATATAATCCGAATGAGCTTTCCCCACTATGTTGGAAGCCTCACAGCGGTATGTACCATTATCTGTTTTGTTTAGGTTATTGATGAACAGGTTGGGCCCCGACAGTACGGCGTGTTGAGGCATTTCATCATCGACTCTCACCCAAGTTACCATCACAGGCCTGCAGAGGGAATGGGAGAGAGACAGGGTGCATTATGATTTCCCACCAAGATGTCTGCATCAAACCTCTCACTCACACAGTAAATGAATCCCATGCAGGATGACACAATTAAAGAGGACCTATTTTAAGTTCAGAGAATTATAGCTGTGAAGGCTTCACAAATCTGTTTGGAATATAATTTTTTAAAAAATATTATCAGGTGTTGAAAAACTTTCAACAGACCAGAAGCAGGAGTCTCATTATTTCCAATTCATCTTCAACAAATCAGCAAATAAACCAATGTGCCCTATTTTTATGCCCTGCTGTGTGCTTTCACACCAATTCAGACAGGACAGAGCTCACCCATTGTTAATCATCTCATTAATTAGGGGGAAAAAAATCAAATCCTGGGCTAGTGATACATGCATTAATCTCATGGTTACTAACACGCCGAGATAGTGGCATAGAAAGTTGTGATATTTAAGTGGATTTCGAGTTTCGCAGAAAGGAGTGGACTTTTACAACTGAATAGCGCTTTCTCTGGCCTCTGCTGTTTGAAAAAAAAATTACCTCTTCTCATTCTGGAAAGATATAATCACTCCCCGTCCCCTTACCCCCTACCCATAACACACCCTCCGCCAACCCAAGACCCCACCGCACCTTCTGAGGCCCCAAGCCACCTTATCTATGTGTTTCTTGGCAAAACGCCTGTCTTCCCTGGCTCTCCAAGGCCCTCACACTGCTCCCCTTCCCGTGTGTGCACCTTCAGGCCCCCAGCTCGAGGGACAGGCTCCCAGATCAATGGCTGAGTGACAGCACCTCCACGTGAACTCCTGGGGTCCTATGGCACTTGCTCATCAGAGGGGAGTTTATTCTTGTGATTTAAAGACCACATTTGTATCCATCAGGAAAAAGCAAATTTCACAAGATGCTCCAGGGCCCAAATTGCACACATACAGAGTCTTTTTCAAACTCACTGAATTTATAATCCTTCAAGGCAGCCCCTATGAAATCGAGGCCACATCTAGGGCTGGGCCTGAAAGCTGCCATTTCCAAGGCAGGGCCACAGAGATTCGGCCACAGAAGCAGCTTCCTTCCATTTTCTGCACTACCTCTAGGAGCAGCATCAGAACCAAAGACCCGTGCTTCATATGAATGGGCACTCAAGACAGCCCTGTCAAGTAGCATTCCGGTTTTCCAATGGGATGTGAAGTCACAGTTTTTCTTTAATGACACATGGGTTTGTTATCACAACCCAGTAAATTATTTTAAAATGAGCCCTGCATCCGTCCTCCTCGCAGGCAATGGCGAACGGCTCTGCCTGGCAATCAGACCTACTGTCCCGCTGCTTGACAGCTGAAACCATCAGTGGGGGTAAATGCTGAGAACATTCACAACATTTAACGGCAAGTTAAATTACCATTTTTACTGTATGCAATTTCTTGAGAAAATAAATAGGTGATATGCTAGAAGGGCTAGCAGTCAAGTAACCCGTGCTTTTCTCAGACAACCGTGGACCCGGGCCGATTTGAGAGGAACAAACAGATACCCTCTCTGGCATCAATGTCCCGAAGGAAACATACAATTTACTGTCCCCATGGCACATTCGACTGAACACAGTACCTTCTTCAGGGGAAAAAAATATAGAAACAAAATAGAGGTTAGCAAGCCATAGACTGTAAATGTAGTTAATGTGGCTGGTACTGTAAGTGGCAAGAGGCCTGAGAGAATTTATTTTTTTGGCCACTGGATCGTTTTGGAAGGAAGGCAATTTGCTACCTGGGGCCTAATTCAAACAGTTTACACAAAGAAAGAGCTGAATCTTTTGCAGTGTTCAAAGCAGAAGAAGACTGCTCTGGTAAAGCTGGAAGTACTTAAAACCAAGTAACTTCGAAACACCCAAGGAAAAGCAAAGCACAAGCAAGACCACCTCCTCCTTCCTAAAGGGCATCTTTACAACTCCAAGCGGCGAGTAGAGAGAGGAGCAAATCCTCGCCCCTGGAGAACGACACACAAAATAGGGAGGGGCTGACGTGGGAAGACAGCCCACTGCAGCCAGGCTCCCTCCGGCTCTCTGTTCTCTCAGAGATCAGCGCTTAGCTGTCATGGGGAGAATGAATTCTTTCCGAAGACTTGGGGGAAGCTTTGTGAAAATGCTCTGAGGTCCTCGTATGAATGTGCTAGTTAGCAAAACTCTGAGAGGGGGGAAAAAATCATAGCGAGGGGACAGCAGAGGGAGCTCAATGCTGTTTTTTTTGTTGCGGACCAATAAAATCTGACTGCTCCCCATCACTACGTTGACCTGTTGTTCCATGTGAAACGGATTGTTTTTTCCCTCGGAAACAGTTAAAAACAATTTTCACTCTATTAGAAAGATGAAAGGATTCTTCGTCCTCCCCAAACAAAACGGAATAATAGCTAAAGTGGTACCACGATGTGGCTTTTGCTTTATTCGTGATAATACATGTAGTTTCTCTAATTCACTTTCATTAATTTAGCAGAGGGGCAAGTGAAGCAGCTTTTTTTACACTTTTCAATAAAATAAGAGTGTGAGTCTTTTCTCTTATGCAGTATGTATACATATTCCTTGAGAAAATTTCCCAAACCATTCCTCACTAACAAAACTATTTCTAGTAGTCACTTTTCCTTGAGGGAGGAAGCAAAACGAAAAGTAAGGCAAATTCATTTGCCTACAGCTGGCCCTACACACAGCAGCTTAAGTTAAGTCTGAAAACCATCTTTCCGACGGCTTAGTTAGACATTAACACAGAAGGTAGCAGACATATCATTAGATTGTGGGCACACTAAAAATTTATTAGGATTATTTTATGTGGGTGAGAGAAAATAGTTCTGACAGTCATGTTGATGATAATAAAAGAGAATTCGCTGAGATTTCAATCTTAGCTGGCGTTTCATTTTTCTCCCAATCTTCACCCTTAAGAACCACAGATATTTATTCCCCTTTTCACTGAATATTCTTTTAGTTCCTGAAAAATCTTCCATCCTTTACAGCAGGAGACAGGTGACAGGCCAGTGAGTTGTGAATGCACATCTGTGTGTTGTGACATTTACTGCTCCTGACCCTCTGCCAACCTTGGCCTTCAGAACTTACTGGGGCTTCCCGATGGCTTCACATGTTAACTCAAGCGCGTCCCCTTCCCGGGTTAGGCCTTGTAGAGGATAAGTCATCTGAATATGCACTTGAGGCTTATCTGTGTGACAACAACACAAAGTATAATGTTTAGCAAATGATATCATCAGGCAGTACCAGACTTGCACGCTGTCACAAACCCCATACTACCAGCACTCACGTGCTTCCCATCCTCATGCCTTCAGTAAAATCCTTCTAATTAGTAAGTAATCCTGGCATTTGCTCAAACTAAACTTACTAATAACTCTAAGAAGTGAACCACGAATAGATAAGAGATTCATAAGCCAACCACCGCCACATCAAACATTTCCTATGAAATACATTTTGTTACATTTAAGTTTATCTCCAGACTCACTCAAGCTAAAGGAAACTCATTTGCCTTCATGCTGAGGTGAAGCCACAGATATCTGCGTGCTCAGAACTGATACATTTTATCATAGATCATATATTACTATGTGACAATATGTTGTGACACTGCATATTAATAAGTTTGCCACTTCTATGCTCTTGTTTTCAAATGGGAAAGGCAAAACTTCTGAATTCCACTCAAATGTCTAAGAATAAAGAACTGGGAGGTTTTGGGGGCCCCTAATGAAACTCTGTGATGGCTCAATGTAAACATATCAGAAGGAAGGAAACTGACAGTTACCGAGTCTACTACGGTAGGAACCATCCTTGGTGGTGGAAAAAGCCCAGTTTTAGGGACGAGAACATTGGTACCGAGAGAATGATGTAGGTTGTCCAAGGTCATAGAGATAACATAATGAGAGACAGCCCCATGAAATGTATGTTTGGAGGGATTATTGATTCAAACCCACATTTCCCAATGGCAATCCATAATTAAAGCCAAGTATACTGAGTATAGCTTCCGAATGCAGTCAGGTATTTAGGTATTCCTAAGTGATGTATTCCTAGGCGTAAGTGAATACTTTAGCGATGTAGGTATTCTTATTTCCACTAGCTATTTAAAAACTGTGTTTGTGAGTTTGTGGGGCTGTGGGTATGAGAGAGGAACGCTAGGAGGTACAGGGAATGGGGAGGGAAGGGGAAGGGGTTGGAATTAACTTAGATACACACACAAATACATTTACAAATAAAACCTGAATGGAATTGGGAGGGGTTATTTTTTCCCCTTTGCTGAACTAATAAGCTATTAATCCCTAAATCATTTTTCTCATTTAATTTCATGACTTTGTAAATGTATATTTTTGGAAATGTACCCAAGAGGTAATAAATGTGAGAGGGCAAGACATCAGTTGGCTGAAAGGTCAAAACAATTGCCATAACTTTACTTTCTCGGACAATCACACCACCCCAACAACAGCCCCTTGGCCTTTTACAAGCAGTGTTTCGCTCATTATCATTCACCCTATGGTATCAGGGAGCAAAGAGAAATATGGCGGGGCTCAACCACCTCCACCTGTACACAGCCAAACAAGCTGCAGAGGTCCTCTCTAGGGATGGCTGTTTTCTGGATGTATTTTTACAGTCGTGTTATTAGCACTGGATCTTTCTGTCTCTGAAAACCACGTGGCATTCAAAACCTTTTAAGAGAGGCTTCTTGTACATCGGTGGGCACTGTACACTGAATTGGTAATGCTTCCTGAGGAGCTAAGTCACTTGCCAGAGAACATAAGTTAACTGGGACTGAAAGCTCCAGCTGACCCCTGAAAGTAACACGATTCTATTCTTAGACTTGTTGGCAAAGGCGATGTTTAAGAGGAAAACGGCCTAGAGGTCTCCAGATACTGATAGCTGGGTGGGGAAGCTAATCATTAAAGAAAGGCAAAAATACTCAAAAAGGATAAACAGGATGACCTTAAATGAGCACTGGCGCTGGGCAAGTGTCCTGGGCACCCACCTTTGAGAGCTACAGACAATACTGTAGGCTAAATACAACCACTGGGTGACATATGTGGGTCTATTATTTTTGGTGGTATAATACACTCGCACACAGAGCTAGTTGGTAAAGTTTATTAAAAAGACAACCCACAAGATATCAAAAAAAAAAAAAATGGTAGAAGGTTATGCCACTGAAAACACAGACAACAAAATACCGGCTCCCTTACAGTTCATGCTCAGAAACAGCAGCACTTCTGGAGTTTCTGGTTAGGGAACCTTCTCCAGGAACCATTCTGAGGAAACCTAAATTTAAAGCCCCAAACTTGGGCTGAAATGTAACATTTTCTTACAGGTTGATCTCTGATCCACAGAAGGTCTACATTTTCCATGCACTGCCGACCTCGGCCCATTAATTAAGGAAAAGCAGAAGGCTGGCTGGCCAATGTGGAAGGCTCCTTTGTCCTCTTTTCCTCCTTTGTGTAATTTACAAGCAAACAGAGGGAGTATATTTTTCAGCACAGCGCAGTAAAGGGTTTTGACACTGCTCAACTTCCATTAATAATAAAGATGGTGTTGAAAATCTATCCACCCTGCCTTTTCAGTACCACTGAGTTTGTTTTAGTTAAATGCTTTTTATGTTCCTAATGGCTGTTTGCCAGTTGTCAATTACTCACATAAATTAGGAATAACAAGCTAAGGCCTTGCTATACCTGGGATTTACGTTTAAAAAAATCATATACTAAAGCCATAGGAAATACACCTTCAATTTTGATAACTGATTTCCCCAATTTAGTCTCTAGGTTTCTGGAGAAACATCTACCATCTACTTATGGGTACAGCTGCCACAGTCACCTTAATAGGTCGCTGGAAAGGTAAACATTCATCTTGCTTGTATTATACAGAAAAATGTCTTCCTCTGTTGACACATGCAGTATTTATAGGCATATTATTCGACTGTGGGCAGCTGAGCTATCTTCACGTCCAGCCTAGGAGCCAAATAGAGGGTCTGTGTGCCAAGATCCATCTCTGGGTGAAGGAAACTTAAAAAACAAATTCAATTCCCCCTCCTTTGCCCTGAAAGAGGAACTTGAGCCTTCCCAACAGGTGGAATGGAAACCCTGGGGCTCCACTGGCACCTCCAGAGCCCAGGGCTGCTAAATTTTCCCAGGATAATCCTGACCACAATCCGAGTATGTCAAAATACTGAACAATCCAGGTGGCTGATTGAATAGCCCAGAAGCTCATCATTTATATTTTAATTATGTTCATAAATCAAACGTTAACAACCCACCAAATCTTTTCTGAAACAGGACCAGACTCCAAGATTTATTTTTAAGTAATGAGGTAAGGCCCAGAACATTTTCTGGGTGATCATTTTACGCCTCAGTTGGTGTTGGAAGGCACAAGGCTAAAAGCCAGATGACACTTTCTGCCCAAGTGCAATAACTGTCTAGAAATGTACTGCAGAATGGCTTAATGTCACTATAAAATGGAACTGCTATATAAAAATAAGAAAAATAGTTAGGTCTGTGCACTCATGGAACATTACAGTTACAGAGATGGTACCACCAACAGCTAATAAATTAGGTCGAGGGATCTGAGGTTTTCATAATATACTGTAATTTTTTAAAAACCCAGTAAAAGACATTTAGCAAGCCTACTACAGCAGACAAAATTCGTCCATTGGTCAAAGTTGCACAGAGGGTTAAATACCAGGAAGCTTTAGGTCACACTACAGTAGCAGCCAATTAAAAAAATCATCTTAGAAAGACATTCTGATTTGATGAGACTTTCTTCAAATGGACTTTGCTCTCTCTATAAAGGGGAAAAAAAAAAAAAAATATATATATATAAAAGGAAACTCTTAAAGAGGTTAGAATGGCTTGCTGGCAGATTACAATTGATTTCATGCCAGTCTGACCTTGTACCATATTCTACGATCTTTTCAGAAGATGAAACTCAAGACTCTGGAACCTGTATTTCACTTTCCTATGTAAATGAAAAGTCACGGTCTCCTTCTCTCTAGATTACCGCACTAACATATCAGGTCTTTAAAATTTCTTAGTTGAAAAAAGTACACCGTGGTTTCCCTTTGCCTGGGATATTATCCTCCCCATGTACCAGGGAGGAGCATTGCTGAGATAAGAGGGAAGGCGCCCTGACACCGCGGCAGGAGGAGACCCGTTAGCCCAGGGGCTCCTGACGCTTCCCCTGCCTGAGATTTTCTAAATCAGGGGACGTGGGCCTCAAATGTTCATTGATGCGCTGACTGCAAGCAGGCCCAGGAACCCAAGTGCAAATCTGTTCCTGCAGGCTCTTTGCATCCCTTACTTAGATTTCATCCAACATTCTGAAACACCTGTTAGAGTGAGACTGGGTGCCTGTAGACCAAGTGTTCATTGTTTTGGGCCTACCATGGGGAACTCAAGGGCAGTGTGGGCTCAGATGGAATCAGAACGGCTGGGAGGACGGTTTGGGTCAGTGCCTATGCATTCAGGTGGGGAAGCACTGACAGAAGGGTCTTTGTCAATCATGGGGGATTACTGCAGTTTGGAGGAGCACGACAATGCCGAGATGCACCTGAGATTTGGTGAGTATTAGGGGCTGCTTGAGCTCAAAGCAGAATCAACCCCTATAACATGGCTGCCTAAGCTGTTGGGAGAGCCCAGCTTTGCTCTGAAGGAGGGCGATGTACCACGAGGTCATTGGGGCTGGTGAGAGAACACAGTCACAGCGAGCTCTCAGAGGACTTAAAAAGAACATCTTGCAAAAGGTTTGCTTCCCATTGTCATAATACATTCACGAATAATTTTCACTGCCATTTATTTTGTTTGTTTGCAAGGTGAAGGACCTCCTGCTGTTACATCTGTTGTATGAATTGGAGCACTTAAACTGCTATTCTTGAGGAGGGCTGAGCTATGATAAGTGGGATGAGTCAAACCTGGGGGGACGGATGTGGGACCGAAGAGCATGTGCCACATTACACAGTAAAATGCAGTTTCCTCTTGTTGCAACTTGTAAGTAGTTTTGTGGATATTGAAATTACTGTTTACCCAACAGAATCAAATTTTATTCTGTGATGTTGTGGCAGAGAGTAGTTTCCAGTGCCTTTGAAGTGGGGTGCACACTCACCCACACAGCACTCTTCCATATCTTTGAGAAATCTTCAGAATTAGAAAGTGAACACTGGGTGAGAAAATTCTCATAGCAAGATTTTCT